TTTTTATTTTTTTTTATTTTGTTCCATTTTTATTTTTCTCTTTATCTGTATATATATATATATATATATTTTTCCTTTTTGTTCACTTATTTTTATTCATATTATATGGAAAAGTCTGCGATCCCAGAATTAGGAGCCAGATATTAGTATGTGTAGTGGAGATTAAATTAGCGAATTTTATAGCCTACAAATTAAATGAATTTGAACAATTAATTATTATTTTTAAATATATTGAATACCAGATAGACTTCGTAAATTTAGATCTCATATGAATTTTCAACGTCTATATAATAAAGCAGGATGGTTTTTGAATTTGTCCTACACACATTTGTCCTACTAGAACATTTGAATGGCTTAGATCTATTCAAATTATAAAACAACAGATGAAATAAAATATCTTACATGCACATTTTCTATTTTCCCGCTTCTCTCTCTTACTTTTTCCTTTTTTCATCTATCCTTCTATGATCTCATGAATCCACCTTCCTCTCTCTTTTCTTTTTATTTTTTTATTTTCTCCCATTTTTATTTTTATTTCTATTTGTTTATTTTTTTTTATTTTTTCCTTTTTGTTCAATATATTTTACACATATTTTCATACAATGTATGTATGCCCGTATAATTATATAAGCAAAATTAGTATTGTATGTATGCCCGTGAAAATTGTATGTATGCCAAGCACATCTATCTATCTACCTATATATTATATAAACAAAAGTGAGTTTTCGTGAGAAGATTTGTGAGAACTCCAAAATTTTATAATAAATTTGTGATTTTATTAGATTGAAAAATAAATTTAAATAGTGTTGAGATTACAATTATATTTTAATCTTAACGTTATTTACACTGTGCCTTCAGGCACGAGCATACGCTAATATATATATATATATATATAAAGAAGTTAATACTTATCTCATATATTAAAATGATAATTATCTAATTTTGTTTTATCTAGAATAATTTTATGAAATTTGAATACTCAATCGTTTAAGGGTAATATTTTGTTTGTTTGTTTTTATTTTAATATGAATTATTTGGTTTTTAAAGGATATTGTCTTTTTTTATTAAATAAAACGATATATGATCCAATAAAAACTTGAGTATGCAATTATTTTAGTATTTTTCAAATTAAAAAATCAATATTATCTTATATGTAACAACTCGAAAATTTAAGTTGTTCCTTAAATTTTATACTAGTATTATGGTTGTATGTGATAATATATTATTAAATAAATAATAATAAATATAGAATCTAATTTGGCATTAGATTATCAAATATGAGATTAATTATGAATTATTATTTGGAGCCAAATTAACAGAAATGTGAAATTATAATACTAGTTGGGCCAAATTAAAGTTAAAGATAGTAAATAAATAAATATAAAAGTAATAATAATAAATAATAAAAATAATAATAATAATAATAATAATAATAATAATAATAATAATAATAATAATAATAATAATAATGGGTGTGGTAGTAAAATAAATAATTAATTTTCTGTCGGTATACGATAGAGTGTAATTTAATTAAGGATTAATTTATTTATATAGTTATATTAAAAAATTGAGTCAAAGTATAATTATTTTAAATATTTATTAAAGATAAATATTAATTTATATAATTTATGATCGAATTTGTGAGAGGATTCGCGTTGATAACGTTCTTACCTCCCCTATAGGGAGGAGGTGATTTGTGTGGAAAAAAAAAGAAAGGAAGAAAGAAAGGAAAAGGAAAAAACAAAAAGAGGAAGGAGAAAGGAAAGAAAAGGAAGAAAAAATAATAAAAGTTGAGAGGGCCTTTGATAGTAGAAAGAAAGAGTGATGTATTAAAATTAAGATGAGTTATATTATATCTTGAGCTACCATAATATATTTTACGTATGTTTTAATTTATCATAATTTATTTTATACAAATTATGTTTTATAAATTATATTAATATTTCAATTACGTGGGTTATTTTCTAAACTTTATTTGTTTAAAATGAAACCCATGGATATGTTTGTTTATATTTTAAAGAATATTTGACAATGACCTTATAAACAGTTATATTTTGTGAGTACCACCACGGGAGTCCCACGCCTTGGGGGAGTTAAATAACCATTGGTCTCTGTTTGGTCACTTTGTGACCCTCTGTCTGTCATGAATCCATTGACCCTTTGATTTCTGGTGTGGAGCAAAGTGTTGTACGGAAGCTAAGTGCTACACTATTGTGGGAGTCACTTTTAGAGTTCGTACGAGCCACCTATTGAGTCCATGCATCTGTTCTATACCGTGGTTATAGTTATTTATTTACATAATCTCAGTTTTTTCACTTAAATGGTTGCATCTGTTCTATACCGTGGTTATAGTTATTTATTTACATAATCTCAATTTTTTCACTTAAATGGTTATTTGTTCAGACTAAATTATCTTAAATATTTTAGTTACATGACTATTCATGGTTATTTTGTATTCCTTATACTCTTGACATAATATTTCTCACTCTGCCATGTGTTTATAGCTGTTTACCAATTTTCAGGAAATAATACAATTCAAAAATAGCTTTTGAAAAGTCTTAAGCGCGGGGTTACGAAATAGGCACACAACACTTTTATGATATGTTTATACGTAAATATCGGCCTTTTTGGTCAATAAATTTTGTAATAAAAATAGAAACTCCGATAATTATTTTGGTACCATCATGTAAATATTTTTCCGCTTGCGTTTATTAATTTATTCAAGAATTGGCCGGAAGTAACTTCATTTACTGGCCATCACGATACTTAACCCTTAGGTACGAGAAATGGATGATGACATTATATATGTTAATACTTATCTGATTGTAATAATGAAATAGATTTTTTAAAAAATATACTTATTTATCTTTCCATGGCTTTATTTATTTAATTATTTTTTTATGTTCTTATAAAAAAATAAAATTTTTATTATTATTTTGTTCATAAAGTGAGAAGAATATGGATAGGTAGATTAGTTATGAGTAGAAATAGATTAATTAAAATAATATCCTTATTTATCTTCTTATAGCTACTTTTTTTTATGTTCATATTAATAACTTAATATTTTCTATCTCATTTTTTTTGGGTCATCTTTTTAAAAAAATAATAAATAATTAGAAATTAAGAAAAGGGCAAATAAGGCTAGAGGCTTGTCATGTAAGAAAGAGACAACTAACTTTGAATGAGAAGGCAGGATCAAGACTTTCGAAATTTTTGAAAATTAATTACATTTGCTAATATGTATGGTATAGATTACATTTACTTCTATGTATAGTATAGACAGATTCTCAACATTGTTTTTTCTTTCTTATTTGTTCTTATTAAAATTAGCAACAAGTCAACGTAGAAACGATGACAATTTCAATCATATAAAATGGAAGTACAGTAATTTGTGGGATATAATTCTCCTAGTTATAATTGTACATTCTTATCTAATAAAATCAAGGGGTTAGTCTTTTTCAAAATTAAATATTAATTATTTCTACCATAGAGTTATTTTATTATATTGAGTTGTTTATTTATTGGTATTATATGTTATTTCTTATTGTGACTATTGAGTTTCTAACTATCTGGTGTTACAGTATAATTTATTTAGAATTTACTCATAAATATAATTAATTTATTGTTGATTAAGATTTTATTACATGACCAAGGTCATTTAATAGGGTAATACTAGGAATACTAAATTTTCTACCAAATAAATAACCAAATGTGGCGTCTACAAAATTGCGGACTCTACCCCTATATTGCGGGCCACATCATGTGAGACATTTAATCATTTATTTGATAAAAAATTTAAGACGTATAGCATTTTCCAACTCATTTAACCCTAGTGCTTGTTAATTACACTCCTTACATATTTTATGACATGATCGTCTATTTTACTTCATAATTTTGTGAAGAATTTTGTGAACGGATATCTTATTAATACTTTATTAAGAGAATCTCTAACAATATCTTTTATTTATTTATTTTAAATTATTACAATTTGTGGTTTCTATATTTTTAGGGAATTACTTATTTACTTTCTCTAACAATACTTTATATATATATTTTTAATTTATTCAAATATTATTTTTCAATTTAACTTAATTTTTTAAAAGTTAAGGTGACAATGATACTGAAAAAGAAAAGAAAAAACAAAAAACAAAAGAAAACTTAATTTTAGATGCACTAATTCGTATACCAATTAGGTGTACTAACCGATAATATGTCATAATTTTAAAAATTTTGAGTATTTAAAATTTGCATAATGGGTGGGGTTATAATTTTGAAATAATAATATCATGTCACACTAATTAGTATACCAGTTGACGCATGTAGCACCTATTGTTATATTTTTGTGAGATGAATAGTGGCTTTCCAAATAGTAACATTTTCTCAATTTAAAGAGTTACAAAGGACGTCTATTGAATGTTTTAAAATTTTATTTTTTTTGAATAACTTCTTATTTTGGGCTGTTTTAAGAATTTGGCTAAAAATTATTTTTTGACTTTTAACTTAATTTGAATTACATCACATGCCTATTTTTTTTATACATTTTTTCAAAAAAAAAAAAATCAACTTTTAACTAAGTTTTCAAAAAGTGTTTGTTAATGAACAATTAATTTAAATTTTTTAACTTATATTTTTAATACACTTGTTAACTATACATTTTGCAAAAATAATTATTTGACAAAGCCATTAATAACATTTAAGAAATTAGACGAACCTCCTCCGACTTAAAAAAAAATCAAAATTAATGTAAATAAAGTATAAAAAAATGTAAAATATATATTTTTATGTAAAAATAATAGTAATAATATATTTTTATTTAGGTAACTACTAAATTATTAATAAAAATATATTCAATATAATTATTTCAAAATTACAAACCTTACCACATTTACTCCTAAGAGATTAGCGTAATTTATCAATTTTAGTTAATTTTATTTTTCTGTAACGCTTAAATTAGTTTATTCATGATATATATTTGCAGTATAAAAATAAAACCGACTAGTCGATTTCCATTTTCAAGCCGACGCTCATCTTTTCCGTCACCAGTCCAGCCCCTAGAGTAAAATCCACAGCTGCTCTATCTCTCCAATTTTCTCTCTATATATACACATATTGTAATTGAAATTTCACCAATATAGCAGAGTCTTGATTAATGCTTCAATTGAAATACCATGGATCCCGAAGATTTCCCTCAAAGAGTTTTCCATTTTTGTTCTTCTTGTGTTCCATGCTTTTCTTGCTCTTCCTCTTCATCATCTTCGTTGCGCTCTTCCTTGTTTTCTGGAAGTATTGTTGTCTTGGAGCCCAACCCCATGGCCTCTTCGATACCCACTTCGCCATTCACTGTTTTCGTGTCTCCTTTCGCTCCCAACTCCTCTTCTTCTGCTGAAGAAGTCGCATGATTCTCTAATTCCCCCAATTTTCTTTTCTTTTCTTTCCATCATTGTTCTATTTTGCTTTTTATTTCTCTCTCTACAATGGCTTGTGTATTGCTGACTGGTTTTTGTCATCATCGGATGACTTCAATTTCTACTGCTAATTCTCCTACAGCTGGAAGTTACAGTGATCATCGGTTTTTCAGGTAATTGTTGTGATGATTCTTGGGAATTTTGCAAATTTTGATCTGGGTTTTTGATAAATTAGTTTATTTCTTTGTACTTGATTATGTGTGTATGTATATATTGGAAAGTTGGAGAGGAATTTGTGGCAAATCATCCCCCAATATGGTCTTGTTCTGTATTGTGATTATCAGGTATGGTTATAATCGTCGTTGTTGGAGCGAGGATGAGAAAGTGATGAAGAACAATTTTACTCGGATCCAAATTGGGGTTCACAAGAAGAGGAGGTTGAGCTTTTCGCCTCAGACTTGTTCTGCTCTAGTGACGGCAAGAAATTCATCTCTGACCAATTTTTATCAGGAGGTTTGTCTTGTCAATGTTGTAACTATTGATTCCACACTGGTTAAATGAATGGTTTGATTGGCTTGACTATCTTTTGCCACTTAACATTATCATACTCTTTTTGCTTTAGTTATTGCTAAATTGTTGCTCATTTTTCTGATTATTCTATTACCCATTTTGTGATATGAAATCTTGATCAATGCTTTAATATTTACCAGGTGATTGAGGCTGCAAGGGAAAAGTTCACTCGGGAGATATCCTTCCAGTCCAAGGACAAAGACATCTCCCTTGCAAAAGTAATTTTGTTTCTTGTTTGTTATTTTTGTTTCGAGCTAATGATGGTTACTCAGAGAATGATCGGGCTAACCCAGCTTACTTTCTATTTGTCCTATGAAGGGAGGACTATAATCTGTTCCTGTTTCTTAGTTGCTTTAGTGTTATTGGCATTTAGAAGGATCATACTCGAAACGTTGCTTCTAGAATTATTGTTATTTTGTTTGTAGTAGCATACTATGGACTGCAGATTTATATACTATCTTGAGATTTTGCTTCATTCCAAAATGCCATGTTGCAGGTTCTTCTGTATGTTGCTGCTGAAGATGAGGCATTTATGTCTTTCAACCGAGAGAAGGATGCTCGTTCACTTCAAAGTGAAAGGAAAGATGCTTCTGTCCTGTCTAATGCCCAAGCATGGGATTCCTTGGAGGAGACGCCTTTGGCTGGAAAGAGTATCAACGGGTGGCTGACTGAGTTGGATACTATTGCCAAAGAAGTCAAGGCAGAGTTAATTTCAAGAGACATAGGTTGCCATTTGGTTGAAGTTTTGGAGGCGGTGAACTTAGTTCTTTTTGAGTCAAGAGGTTTCAAAAGGCCACCTGTACTAGTAGATTCAAAGTATTCATACTTGCACTCAGTTTTGAGCTCTGGATGTGGCAGTGGTAAAGCTTCATTGTCATCTCTTACTTGCTTATGTGCATTGTGTTGTTTTGGCCATGTGCTGGGGCATTCTAAAATCTTTTTCTGCTGATTGTTTATGTGGTCTCTTTTATTCAGTCGATATTTGATGTCACCTGACATATGGTTATCTTGTTGGCAGCAATTTTACTTAGTGTAATTTATATTGAGGTTTGTCGAAGACTTAATCTGACAATTGTGGGATCTCGAGTTGGGGAAGAGTTTTTAATTTGGCCCCAAACAGAGAATCCTGAGGTGTGTTAATCTTTTGAACTTGTGATTACAAACACTTCATGTGATATCAGTGCCTACTACCCAAATGCACATTGCCAATTACTTATTTATTCTTCAGTTCCATATCATGTGGGAAAACCCTAGTATATGATGGTCATACAGGTTCTAAGTGCTCCTAAATTTTGTCATTTTAGGAGCTGTTCAAGATAACTTCAGGACATAGTTTGTTTGGGGTTGTTAATGGAGGGTGCGTGGACGACCCAAGATCAAAGGCCTCTGATTTAAATAGCAATTCGCTTTCAGGATTGGACATTGCAACAAACCGAGACATTATTGGGATTGCTCTAGCAAATTTGATTGTATGTTCTAATCCCTAAAGCAGTGTCACATGAATATTTTTATGTTACTCCAGTGATTCCATTAACCCATATTTTTTGAATTACCTCGTCACCTCCCATGAGAAAATTGAAAAAAAAAAACGTATAACGTATAATATTGCAGAGGCTTCATTGGAAACGTGCTTCAAGAACAAACCATGGTTTGATGCTAACTTCTCCACTAAGGCCTGTTCATGACACTAATGACAAACTGAGCAAGATAGATGGTTCAAATGTTCCTTTGGTGCGGCCCCAAGATCTTAGGTACCGATCTTATGCTCCTTTGTGGCATTGGTTACCACCTATCCATTTCTTTCCTGATCATGCAGGTGCTGTTTTGTGTTGTCCCTACAGGTTCAAGATGCTAATTTTGCAAGATTTGCATGAGAAAGGGGAGAATTGTGAAATATGGACTCATGATAGAGTCCCAGTAGATTCTAGTTTCCTAATAAGGCTAATTAATTTTTTGTCTATGCTGTGATGATGCTTTATTTATTATATTTGACTTACAATCTGCAGATGGGTTTTACACCTTCCCAGTTACAGCTCCTTTTCATCTTTAATGCAGCGCTTTACTCTTCTTATAAGTTAAGATACTGAAATTACCGATAATCCAGGACTATGAAGGTTGAATGAATGACTCGGGCTGTAGCCCAAGTGGTTGTGAGAGGGCATTTAGGTGCTAGTGAGGTAGTTTTAGGTTTGAGTCAATGGTGTGGCATCTGCTTGATGTAGTAATCTAACTCTACTAACATACTAAAATCCTACCGTGTGACAAAAAAATAAAAAAAAAAAGGTTGAATTGGTTTTGTAATGGATAGCTATGTAGATTTGCTTGTGGGTCATATTCTCCCATATGCGAGCCTTTTGATCATAGTTACACTATAAACTAGGCTTTTAATTTGGCAAAAATTTATATGAATAGATTGTAACGCACCCCTTCCACTATTGGGGAACTTAAAATGTAGCCGATGGTGGGCGTAATGGTCAAAGTTGCTTATTACAAACTTTGCTTATTTCTTATTTTAGTGGTTAAATACACACACACACACACAAGTCATACATATTTCAAAATGTCAATTGTCTGTTATAGAGAAATTTACCTGACGCCTTACTAAAAATATTATTCGAGAAAGGAGGTGGGTTGGTTCTAATCATTGATATTGTCTGGCGGGGTATAGATCCAAGTACTAGTCTTTACATAGAGTTATCCGGCAAAGATCTATATTTTGAAATGATACTTCCATGTTGTTAAACAGGATGCATGTGCTGAACAGAGGTTGGATGCATGTGTTGTTCCACTACGATTATCGTGTGAATAGCCTGTAGAAAGTATTGTTGTCTACAATAAGCTCTTCTTATCTAAAAAGATTTGCCTCTTATGTTGAGTTCGCTTTGTTATATTTTCCTCATTCCACATGCTTAGACTTGTGGAGTTTAAATTTTGTGCATTGAAATGCAGCGATACATCACCCTTTCGAAACTCGTTGAAAATTGCACAATAGGAATGAATCTTGCTGTAACATCCTATTTATGTCCACCTCTGTTAACAAATAACACCATGCTTGGTATCTTATACTTATTTTTTAGGCTGGCTATCATGGCTTCAGAAAGATTGTTGATTCTCCAGCCACATAATTGGACTTTGAGGAGAGACCATGGCTTGATGTTGTATTATAGTAGGTATGAAGTCAGTATCGTCTTTGCTTTTGTGTTTGTCAGGATGATTGGTTTGCCATTCGTCTTTCTTTTCAAATTATTTGGTAAAAAATAATTCTGCCATATTTCAGGGAATATGAGGCAGCAGTCCAAGAGCTTAGCATTTGCATGGCCTTTGCACCCGAAGAAGAGGCAGGAGTTCTAGAACCATTTGTTGAGAAATTGCATTTGTTGCGGCTTGAATCATCATGGAAGTCTTTGGGGCATAATGGTCCGTTGAGAGTTCCTTAACTTGTTTGTACAATACCTGTGTTTTCCTAACTTCTTAAATCCTTATGTTCTTATGAAAATTATTGTACTGTATCTATTGTCTTTTTCGACTTGGTAAGATCCATATATGCTCAATCATCCGACAGCACTTGGGGTAGATCCTTTTTTAATCAACCTTTTGCTTTTGGGGTTTTCATTTCTGTTGTGACAACTGCCTGGCGACGTGATACTGTATTACATTTCTGGTTTGTTATGAGTTAAAAGCTGCTCTATTGAGGAGTTGATATCTGGTATTCATTTGTGTCAATGCATTACAAAATTTTAATGTTTCTTAACAGTACATCAACTAACCCAGTTAGTGTTGTATTTTTTTAGCTTTATGATGATAAATGTAGAGATTAGCTCTAGTCAAATGTTCCGAAACAAAAAGTTACAAGGTCATAATTCTAAATATACGCCCACAAACGTTCTCTCTACGACTACTCCCTCTCACAACTCATTGGAGATCATGGTCTCAAGATGGAGAACTTTAGAAGCAAGCGGTCCTCATGAACTTTATTACAAGCTCATAATCAGCTGATTATCAGTTTACAAATGAGTTGAGCCTAAACTGTTCTCAGTGCAGTGAAACTCAATTCCTTGATCAAAATAGATTTCCCTTTTGCTTGAACTTTCACAATGCAGATAAGGGTAGGTAAAGGTTAGGTCAAGCTTTCTTGATTGGGGGACCCAACTAATCCTAATCTGTCTTATTATTTTTTTATATTCTATTTTTGTTTTTTATATCATAACCTAATCTGTTTTATGTCACAAAAATTGACTCATTTTCAACAAACCTATTTACTTCTTTTCATGAATCTTGTGTTTTGCCCAAAAGCTAAAAAAGGTAGGTTACTTGTGCTTCACCTATATATATCTCTGTCATGTGAATGGTGTTCATGCTTCATATAGCAAGGCCTCATAAATTATTCAGCAATGATACATACCACTAGAAGTGGTGCTTTAGACTAGAAGTGGTGCTCTAAAGCACCACTAGTGAGTTGACACATACTTCAAAAAAAAAAAAAATACAGCACGTGTCAAACATTTTCCTAAATTATTTAGGGATTTGCTTCACGGACAGGAGGATGCTGTTGGGGTCGTGAGAGCCCACCACGGGTCTTGTTTTAATAATTCGAACCGTATGTAACCAGATTGGAAGGTGTTGTTGGGCTCGTAGGCAGTGGTGGAGCTATGAAGGGACTAGGGGGCACGTGTCCCTCTTAGGTTTTGCATTCTTTTTCTTTTTTTCTTTTTTTCTTTTTTTGCATATAAGGAAAATAATTAACCAATAAATTTTTTTTATAGAAATAACATTTAGAATGATTTCTTAGTGACATTTTTCAAATTATGAAAATAATGATGGTTGTTTTGATTGAAAATGAAAAAATTACAACAAACCATATTATTAAAAAAATTTAGTGCAACAGTGATATCAAATCATCACTTACATGTAAACATAGTTAACCCCACTATGAAAATGAGAAATTATTGAATTGTTAATTATATTTAACAAGTGTGATTGACCTTCCATGCGTTATTTTACTATTAATTAGTGATATCATATATCGATAATAATGTGGTATCACTATTATTTATATATTATTATATAATCTATTATGAGACATACATGACTCTTTTGCATTGCCTATAATACACTAGTTACAAGTAACACCATATATTTTCAATTCTAATTTTTTACCTGGCCAATTGTAAAAACAAAAATTTTATATTAAATATTTAAGATTTTGTATGTAATATTACTTTAAAATTATTATCTATTCTTATTGATTATGAGAAAAAAAATCAAAATTTTAATTAACAAGTGCTCATTCTAAATTATTTTTTTGGCTTCGCCACTGTCCGCGGGGGTTTACCACGGGTCTCGTTTCGATAATCCGAACCATTCAATGCGTAGAACTTGTCAAATATTATATGCCTGTAAAAAATCACATTGATCGGATATAGATAACTATTATATGTCTATAAAAAAATTACGTTGATCGGATATCGATAACTATTATATGCCTGTAAAATAATTATCGATATTCGATCAACGTGATTTTTTACAGGTATATAATACTCGACGAGTTCTACACATTGAACAGTTCAGATTATCAAAACGAGACCCGTGAAAGGCCCTCACGAGTCCAACAACACCCTCCAGTCCGTGTGATTAGATTTGAGGGAAGCCAAACCCAATTATTTATCTTATTCAAAATGATGATTCCATCAAAAATGATAAAAACTTAATTATAAATTATCATTTATTATTACAAGATAATAGTCATTTCTTATAGGAATAATATTATATGCACCAATTAGCATATTAACTAGTATATCAATTGATGATGTGGTATAATTTAAGAGATTTTTGGTATTTGTAATGTGATTAATGAGTATGGTCAATAATAATATTAGTACATTAGTAAGTACACTATTTGATACATATAACATTCCCGTCCTTAGAGAGGTGAAGGTGAAATGATCATTCATTATGTTGTTCATCAAAAAATTGTGAAGTATGAATTATAAACTCACTAATGATGGTGGACTATTATATTGTATTTGGATTATAAATTTATGGGATGATATGAAAATAGAAAATAAAACGGGAGCAAAAACTGAGCAAAGTATAATTTTAGTGTTTTTTTATTATAAATTCATTTATAAATATAAGATCCAAACATAATATTAATGGAATATTCTTACTACACACTTTCTCTCTCTTTGGAGAACCATGATTTGTTGCCTGGTGTTGAAATTAAAATTTGTTATACCTTATAACTATTTCTCTCTTTGTGTCCCAAGCCCACGAAAGCCTGCTTAACATGAACCTAATGTGTTGCAGTATACTAGAAGGGCTGCATTTGCTTAGGACCAGATTGGGATTAAAAAAAAAAAAATAGGAGCTTGGTTTTAGTTTTGAAATTTATCATTTATCATTTTTTGGGGGACAATTGTAAAAAGGTGGTAATATCACAAAATAATTGTAAGGTGATGAAAATACAAACAGTTTATGCATTAGATTGAGCAGCATTAGATTGAGCAAATAGGTCTTGTACCTTCATCACTTTGTAATTATTTTATGTTGTTATCACTTTTTTTGCAATTGTCTCCTTTTTGTTTTACTTTTTTTTTTTTTTTTTTTGGTTTTTTGGGTTCTATGCTAAGAAAATAGGAGAATATCAAATAAATAAAAATTATAAATTAAGTACAAATGTTTTTAAATATGTATAGCTCTATTATTTTTATATAATTTGTTTTAGGATGCAAATAATTTTTAAAATTTAAAAATATACTTTTGATATTTATTTTGGTCAATTTTATATTTTAATTTTCAATTTCAAAAAAAAAAGTTCTGAAATAAAAACAGTCATTTTTCAAAACATATTTCATGAAGAAAATTAAAATTAAAAATCTTTTTTTTCAAAGATTAAATTATTCACGGACTGTAATTTACGAAAAATCACTTAAATCACACCACATCAACAAAAGTAGGCTCCTTCATTCTAACTTCATACTTTTTCCTCAAACACACTATAGAGGGTCAAAAATTAAACTCCAAATTAAGTATGGGCCTACGTGTTGAGTTCGCCCCTTTTAGGTGACCAAGAATGTCTAAAGGAGCATGGGGTTAAAGCCCAATGGAAGTGGGCCAACAAATGGGCCGAAACAGGTCCGACCCGCCAAGGATCCAAACAGACTCCACGAAAAAAGTGTTTAAGTCAAGTTGCAGAGCGATCAAAGTTGTTGAGGCATTTTGCCTCAAAGCCGCCATCTCCAATATTGTCAGTTTCGCTGCCATTTTGAAGTTGTTGAAGGAAACCGAAAACTGAAGCAACTAAGTTGTGGAGGCAACGCTTATAGCTTACAAGTTGCAAATGTACTTTGTCGGCGCCGCTATCCTTAATATTGACGAGGTAGTCACATGCAACGGGAAATGGCTACCGCAACAACTACAGTCGCCGCAACTATGACAATTGTCGCAACTAACTTGCGAAGGGAGGCACCCCATCAAGGTGATAGCAGCTTTTGGGAGAAGTTTCTCCTCCACAAGTAAAGGCTTATAGCAGGCTTAGGATTGATAGTGTCACGACCCAAACCTGCCCCTATGGGTTTAGCACCGAAACCGGCCAGTAATCCGTGATTACCAAAGGCCTGCTTAACAGTAATGACAGTATTACAGAGTACAGGGGCTGGCGGAAGCCAGAACAGTAATAAAGGATGTCCAATGAGCTGTGACATTCTGTATACAAAAAGACTTTTATGAACAAGCCACATGCAAAACCAAAACATATATACATCATATACACAAACATCCACGTTAGGGACCAAATCCCTTCACCATAACTGTACAGTCTAGACTTATTCAATCAGTACAAAACAGAGACAAAAAAGGTGAGTCTAAAACACCCCAAAGACAGCCTTGGCTTGATAGACTTGAAATCTCGCAGTGAGGCACAACGGTTGGCTTGACAAAAAGGAAGCTTAACCCGACGCTCCTAGCTCCGGTCCGGTGCCTGGACACCTACATATAGATATAAACAGTGAACTAAAGCCCAGTGAATAACAGTTGTGTAAAGAGGTTAAGAATGAATGTCATTTCAGTAATTAAACAGTCATATCAGTCATGTGTGGTACATCCAATAGCAAAATAGTGCAGTAGGTCTTAACAGACCGAATAGTCAGTTGATGGCCATCATAACAGTAAACAGTAGTAGTTCCAAACATTGGAACTGACAGAGATCTCTATAACAGTAGCAGTAACAGTAACAGTACAGTAACAGTAAGTTGCTATGGGTACCACGAGTACAGTTCATAAAAGTAGGACAAACATTCATTCAGTAGGCATTATCATTTCAGAAAACAGTACAGTCGTTCGTTTAGAAATAGATATAATTGAACGTATCTTTACAACATTGTTACTCACAGAGTTCTGGGCTACAGACAAGCTAATGAGCGTCCTCGGATGCCAACCCTATAGTTGCAGAACAAACACACACTAAGTTACACACTTGGGAATCAATAACTTAGTCATCTAACTTGACTTGGTGTGGTTCTATATCATTATCCTCATTAAGATGCCTTAAACTAGGCCTAGGAATGCCTAAGATGGAATGAGGGTGCAAAGATGTACTTTAAAACACTTTTCAAAATTTGTTGAAACAGGGGTCCACGCTCGAGCGTGGCTTTCTACGCTTGAGCAGACATACAGACAAAAGAGCTCCACTTGAGCGTGACTTTTCCCGCT